CGTGTTTAATTCCACAATTTTATGCAGAAATAACAGTGAAAACCCAAACTAAACGCTATAAAAACTATTAAAAACGGTAGAAGCGCTTACAAAGCATCAAAAAATATCAAATAACTTTAATTTTTGTGATAAAACAAAGGTAAGTTGGATGCCAGCAAATTACGACAATTCGACGACCCAAACATAACCTAAATACACAAAATATATTCGTAGTGGAAAAAAATGGAGAAAAATTCGCAGTGATGATTTTGCACTCGAGTAAAAAAGAAAAAATACGAAAAACCGAAAACAGTTTTAACACACATAACTAGTGAAAGGAAAACAAAAGCCTAAATTATGTTTGTGATAAAGTGAATTTCTCAATGTGTATTCAAAGAATTATGTTCAAAATTTTAATGAAAATAAAACAATGATGCTTTGTTGTACCGACGAAGAGGGGCAGAGGTAATGCTGCACCGTACGAAGAGTTCTTATGGCATGAAAGTAACGAATCACGGATATTAGCCGGAGAGGGAAATGAGGAGGGAGTTGGCGGGTGAAGTGTTTTATAAGTATCTTTCTTTTTGTATTTTGCTATAGCTTCTTCAGCTATATAATGGCAGCAGCAGGCAACATAATCGATAGTGCCAACACCTCGTTTTTTCTTTTTGTTTATGGAAAAATATTTATTTTTTTAAATACGTCTGCAAATGGCAAACCATAAGATTGCTTTCACTTAAGTGAAGTATCTAAAATTATGTTATCAAAACAAGAAATATGTGTAAAAAAATCATAATTATTATCAGGTATGTCTTGAGAACTGCTTGGTACTGCCAAAGTCCATACATATTTTTTTTAAATATATTTGGTTTTTGGTGCGATAAGCACCAATATATATGCAATCCATACAGATACGATATATATGTATATAGAAAAGTGCGTGATTGCACAATTTCTGTTGTGTTTTTTTGTTAATATGTCGGCATTCGTCATTTGTTAGTTTTTTCTCTTTTGCTTAGATACGCCAGCTCTATTCCTACATGATTCCTACCTTTGTGGTTCAATAATTATGTATAGGTAAATCAGCTGTGTGCTATTTATTTATGCTTCTTCGATATGGTTTCATAATTTAAATGTTTCATTTTGCCCATTCGAATAGGCAACGACGGTGGGACATTTGCATATTTTTTTATTCAATTCCATGTGTTTTGTGCATGTGTTGCATTTTTGGGGCGATCTTTTGGCTTGCTCTTTAAATTTTACCAACGTATTTACCACCACCCAATGTCTCACAATCTAATGTAATGTTGCTGTTATTGTGGTAACCTTCAGTTTCTCTTTCCTTTCGTTCGTTCGCTCGGTCGGTCTGTCGGTCGGTCGGTCTTTGGCATTTACATCATGGCAATGTCATATTTGGTGTAATTTTTGTAAAAGAGATATATGTCGGTACAATCATGAGTATGAGTATTGTCGCGAGAGAGCCGATTGTTTTCGTCAACAAAATAAAAACAAACAACGTGTTTTAGTTTGTTTCTTTGTTTGACGGCCAGTCGGCTTGTTTTTCCCCACATGTTTCATTATACAAGAAAAAGAAGTAGTAAGTGTTAATGAAGAACCATGTGTTGTTGTGTTTTGCCTGAAGAGTTATTTCGAAGTAATTTTTATTTTCATAATTACCATGTGTGTATTTATCGCTTATCTATCGCCTCTCTATACAATACACGGAAATTCGTTGAAAAAAGCATAACATAGGGGTAAAAATTAGAACAATTGAAATCGGTATTCGGATTTTGTACAATTCGTTTAAGGTATAATTGGTATTTTATACATTGTGTTGAAATTTCTGGAAAAACGACCTTTTATATGTCCTTCACTGTAAGGTGGGGGGTGTGTAAAATGTATTATCAGAAAACTTCAAGTATATATATTCTATATCAATTTAATCATATTTGTCTGGCTTTGATAATATATTCAGGATATTGCGTATGAAAAGTGGAACATATCGGTACCGTAAAACCCCCATCAGGGTAATATGCAGGTTGGGACTGAGACCACCTCAAAAATGGCTCATTTTCTTTTAGTTTTTGATTATTTTAAATAGAAAAGTTATTTTCTATTTTCTGGTTTGGTCTCTTGAAATGGTTTCGAATTGCATTTGTATGTACGCCCATGGTCTTCATGTAAAGTTTCATTCCCGATCTCCAACCAAATCAGTTATAGTTTTTCGTTAACTCATCGCAAAAACATTAAATGTAGGTCCATTTTTCGCTATAGTCGCCAAAATGCAGGGTGAGATGAAAAAACTGCAACCAACTTCAGACTGCTGTAATTTCTAAGCCTCTCGTCCGACAGCTATTAAAATTATTCCAGTGACAGCTCATTATATTGTTTACAAGCGTACAAAAGCGTTTTGGTGAGAATTTTCCTGAAAAAAAGTTATTCGTGATGGAATTCAAGCGTGATAGTGTGATTTCTTTATATTTGGCTGGAAAACCACAAGTGGCTATCGTTAAAGCACTCCAGCGTTTAAATGTGAATAAATCTATTGTGTCTCATTCCATCGATCGTTACCGTGATACTGGTAACGTAGCCCGACGTCAAAGAAGTGGACGGAAGAAAACGACAACATCAGCAGAAATGGTTCGAAATGTAAAGAAGCGACTTGATCGAAACTCGCGTCGCAGTGGCCGAAAAATGGCTTGTAAGCTGAACATCGCAATCGCAATATTCCATTCGGCAAATATTGAAAAGTGAGCTCGGGGTAAAGCCATTGAAATTCCAAAAAGTACAAGAACTTACACCACAACAGGCTCAAAAGAGCTAAAGAGTTGCATCGCTTGGCCGAAAGTGGTGAACAGCCGAATTTGGTTTTCTCCAATGATAAAATACTTGTTGTCCAGCAGTTTGTAAACAAACAAAATAATCGTGTTTACTTGCCAAAGAGGTCAGCTGAAAATGTGCACCTTCGGTTGGCCACCACAACTCAATGATGGCAGCAATCCTCTCTTATTAATCGACCGTGGCATCAGAATAAATGCCAAATATTATCGCGAAAATATTCTGGAGGGTGTATTACAGCCTTGGGTATGCAAACATTTTGGCCACAGACCTTGGACATTCCAACAGGACTCAGCACCATCGCACTCAGCACGCGCCACCCAAAAATGGTTACAAAATGAGGTTCCTCGATTCATTTCCAGTGCGCAATGGCCACCAAAATCTCCGGATACAAATCCGTTGGACTATTGTGTCTGGTGAATTTTGTAAAGCAAGGTTGGCACTAAAAAATACCAAAGTTTCGATCACCTCAAGCAAGCGCTTCGCTAGGAATGAGCCAAAATATCGCAGAGCAACATTCGAGCAGCATGTGACGGTTTCATTGGCCGTTTTAAGGCCATATTTCGTGTCAAAGGTGACCAATTCGAACAAATCTAAAGTTATTCTAAAATTTAATGCTATTTTCGACATTTTTTGCTTTCATTCAATAAAATTAAAAAAATGTAAAAACTATGACATTTGACTTTGTTGCAGTTTTTTATCTCACCCTGTACAATCTTAAATTTCCGCCTGAAGCTAGTCTATTCACAGACTATTGAAAGGACATTTTATTGTGTATGTGTATCTAAAGCCTGCTTCATAATTTAGTACACACTCAGGGAAATACGGATATTGGTGGAATCAAGATTTCAAGTGACTCCCAATAACAACAATCTTTCCTTAGACTGTATTAAAAATACTGACACAATTAACAGGGGTACTTATAGGCAAACAAGTCCGCAAGATAATTTTTATAATTTTTTTTACCTTATTTAGGAAATTAATAGACATGTAAATATGGCTCATCTCGTGGAGATCAGCAGACCATTGGATTTATCAATTAATTTTCAACGACAATTTTATCAAATATTTAGTTCCATGGAGGATATGTAGGATAAATGTCCTCTATGTTTGCATACTCTTCGATAAAGTCAGAAGGCATCGACAAAGAAGATTTTCAATAATCTCAACTCAAAAAGTTGCTGATGTTTATGGCTTATACAATTCTTATTTAAATTAGGAAATCGAATGTCCTGCATTGACATCTTTGTGCCCATAGAACTACCTATACAATCTTTAATTGTCCTATGAAATTTCAGAAGATTTCATTTTTTAACATTTCCAAAGCATTCTCAACTTCAATAGTCCATTTTCAAAAGCTCAAATTCAATAGAAGTCTACTTCTCACATTGAATGGTATATTTACAAAATCCATTTCCAAAATATTGAGCAAATTGATGATACTCTTGTTACAGTTTCTTACAAACAATGTTGGAATATTCCTTGATTGATTTATAGCAGATATTTAATAGAAGTGAATCACAGAAGATAAACCTTAGCCTCGGTACCAAATAACTTGATAAGAACAATACAAAAGGCAGCAATCTCAATTGGCCTTTCCACCTGACAAACAAAAACACACGTATTCAAAAACAAAACAAATACGTTTAAATTTCCGTTTACTTTCCAAGTTATTGAATACCTTCCCGAGATTTCTTTAGACATCTTTCAAAAATTATGCATCTTCAATTATGTAATATTTCTGCATAACTGGTTTGATTTTCTTTGGGTTTCAAATCAATAAATAAATAATTTTTTTAACAAAATTTTAATATAGTAACTAATACTATTTCAATATTAAATTAAAACGCACAAGATGAAAATAGCTGATCAAGAATTACGTTGTAAAGTTTCTACACATTGTGCTAAGCAATGTAAATAAAAATACTGAAAAAAAAACTATAAAAAAAAACAATTTTTGTTTTTATTTATACACGGCGGGGCGAAGACGACGACGACCTCTGAAAACGCATGATGATAAAGATGAAACTGTGATGACCAGAGAAAGAGAGACCATATGTATTTCTCGCAGATCAATTCTGTCGACAGACGGAAAATGGGAAGAAGAGACCATTTCTTATTTTTTTGTATCGTTTTGCAAAGGAAAATACCGTATTTTTCTTTTAGTTAATGTTTGCTTAACAAATAATTAAGATAGTCTTCTAGTATGCCGACAACGATTACGAAATATAGTCGCGTACGCTTCTCTAGATGAAACGATAAATAATATTTGAATTTTTCTAAATATTTTCGATATGAAAGAAAACTAAAACGACTTTGCAACATAAACTTATTAAAAAAACAATTAAAAACGAATGATTGATTGTTTCAAAACAGCCATTGTGAAGAATTTACTTGCCAAAGGAAAAACAAAAACTATTTGGTTTTTACTTTGTAAAGATCGAAAAAAATGTTTGGATGCTGATGGATATTTTGTAATGATTTCATAATACAACGACCGATAACGTTTTCGTCTTTACCTCCCTCCTTGCTTGTGAGTGTGTGTGCGCGCGATTTAAACAAGAAATAAAAAGAACTAAAAATAAAATAAATATCTTACAAGAACATTGTATTTTTGTTTTACAAAAGGTGGCAGTGTTTCAAAATAAATCGAAAGATCTCATCTTTAAAAAAAAAAAAAAAACCGAAATAAGCTGTTGATATAAGTCAACTGTAAGTGGTATAATTGTGCTAAGTGGTGTTGGTTTCACCAATTCCAATTTCAATAATTATAAAACACTTTTTTCATTTGCTGCCTTTTGCCATGATATGTTTTATAACGCTTTGGGTTATCAGCAGCTTTTGCTCGGACCTGTGGCTGGTCCAACAGATGTTTGTCTCGCCGCCATCCATTCGTTCGTTCATGCGGTGTTTTGTAAGAAAGATCAGATGCTAAATACATGCAAACAATGAGACAGACACCAACCAACCAACCACATTATTGTTATCAATAGCGTTCGACGGGACACCAGAAAATTTGGCGTAACATTAACAAAAAATTGCGTACAATACTTTTTTTTTTCTTTTTCACTTAACACCAAAAAAATGCTTCTAAAAATATCAGTGTCTTATGTTGAAATGTATATTTTTATGTTGGCGTTTCTATGGTGAAGAATTTGAAAATTCGAAAAAAAAACTTTTTTTGTTTTTTTTTTTTGTTTTGGTTTGTTTTCAAAGACAATCTCTTAATGGTTGGCTGATACAGGAAAGTAATTTTCCTATAGGTGAATTGAAGAGGAGAGCAAGTGGATATTAGGGTGGACCCTAAATGGTTTGGTTTGATCAGCAAAAAAATTTCAAGTCGATTTAGCCATGACCGCCAGTCTATTGCAATTGAAATGGAGGCAATATCTAATTGTGCAGAACGTTAAAATAATCAAACGTTAAAAATAAGCAAAAAACGTTTAAATTATGTCTAGAATTGTTAAAAGTGAGCTATGCTGGCCCACGTGTAAGTATAGCTCCCATGCAACGGTAACTCCTGATTTTCAGAATTTTGTATTTTCAACTCAACAAAGAGCTGTAATTATACCCTCCACCATGGGTAGGAGGGTATATTAACTTTGTCATTCCGTTTGTAACACCTCTAAATATTCGTCGTAGACCCTATAAAGTATATATATTCATAATCAGCATAAAATTCTAAGACGATTTAGCGATGTCCGTCTGTCTGTCTGTCCGTCTGTCTGTCTGTCTGTCCGTCTGTCTGTCTGTTGAAATCACGATAGAGCCCACATTATTTGACGTAGACCTTTGAAATTTGGCACAAGTGTGTGTATTGTCCCTAGGATGGTTGGTATTGAAAATGAGATATATCGGTCCACGTTCTGGTATAGTCCCCATATAACGGTACCTCCCGATATTCGGTATTTTGATGATTTATGCCACATTTTTTCACGGATTTATCTGAAAATTGGTATTTGTAGGTCATGACGGGTCTCTGAGCGTGTGCCAAAACATTGCATGTATAGGTCCACGTTCTGGTATAGTCCCCATATAACGGTACCTCCCGATATTCGGTATTTTGATGATTTATGCCACATTTTTGCACTGATTTGTGTAAAAGTTGGTATTTGTGGGTCATAATGGGTCCTAGTTCGTGTGGCGAAACATTGTAATTATAGGTGCACGTGTTGGTGTAGCCCCTATATAACGGTACCTCCCGATATTCGGCATTTTAATGTTTTTTGCCACATTTCTTCTAATGTTCTTTTACCTTAGGGTGGAGGGTATTAAAAGTTTGGCCCGGCCGAACTTAATGTTTTTTTACTTGTTTTACATTTAGTTTTCTCTGATATCTGACTTCTAGATGGGATAATGGTAGTTTTGACTACAGTAGACTATTTGAGGACGAAGAAGAGGTATAGACAATTGAACATCTACTATGTAGATATCCCACGCTGCTGTTTGGTAGGTGGGAGATAGACACTAACGATCTTCTCAGACTAGATCCCATTATCATCCGCAGGTTGGCTAAAAGCATATCATGGCAATGCAAGCCTTTATCTAACTAAATTTTACTATCTCTTCTTTCTTTACCAAATTATGTCTTTCCTATCAAAAGTAATTCTTCCTAGGATGCCCACAATGCACCAATGGTCCCGAAGTAAAGCAGCTTCGGACTCTAGTGTAGCTGCTCATCCTGATATCTAACCAAAACCAAGTGTTCTCAGTGTTCATTCTGCCAACAATTTTCCATATAGCTCCATTTTTGGCATATCACCCATATAAGGGTACTTTTGGATTTGACATGTTTTGAAGTTTTTAGACAGACTTTTCAAGATCAGAAGGCTATTCCATCAGAAAAAGTGCAGTGTAGCTACATTATGTTGTAAAGCTCCTCACCCGTACCTGGTAGATATTTTTAGTTTATTTTGACTGTCATTGGACAAAGTCAAACGCCATAATTTTTACATTTTTTTTGAATTTAATTGAATGAAAGCAAAAAATGTCGGAAATTGCATCAAATTTTAGAATAAGTTTAGTTTTGTTCGAATTGGTCACCTTTGGCATGGATTGTGGCCTTCAAAGGGCCAATGAAACCGTTACACGCTGCCAGAATGTTGCTCTGCGGTATTTTGCCCCATTCCCGGCGAAGCGCTTGCTTGAGGTGATCGACGCTTTGGTATTTTTTAGTGCCAACCTAGCTTTCCAAAATACTCCAGACACAATAGTCCAATGGATTAGTAGACTTTGGTGGCCATTGTGCGCTGTAAATGACGCGAAGAACCTCATTTTGTAACCATTCTTGGTTGGTGCGTGCTGAGTGCGATGGCGCTGAGTCCTGTTGGAATGTCCAAGGTGAAACTTCCGGACAACGAATGTTTTCTCATCGGAGAAAACCAAATTCGGCAGTTCACCACTTTCGGCCAAGCGAAGCAACTCTTTTGCTCTTTTGAGTCTATTTTCTTTCAGTTGCGGTGTAAGTTCTTACACTTTTAGTAATTTCAATGGAATGGAATATTGCGACATGTTCAGCTCACGCGCCATTTTTCGGTCACTGCGACGCCGGTTTCGATCAAGTCGCTTCTTTACTTTTCAAACCATTTCTGCTGATGTTGCTGTTTTCTTCTGCCCACTTCCTTGACGTCGGGTTACGCTACCAGTATCCCGATAATGAGCGATGGTACGAGACACAACAGATTTATTCACATTTAAATGTTGGAGTGCTCTAACGATAGCCACTTGTGGTTTTCCAGCCAAATATAAAAAAATCATACTATTATGCTTGAATTCCCCCACGAATAATTTTTCTTCTGGAAAATTCTTACAAAAATGTTTTTGTACGCTTCTAAACAATAAAATGAGCTGACACTGGAATAATTTTAACAGCTGTCGGACGAGTGGCTCAGAAATGACATTAGTTGCAGTTTTTTAATCTCACCCTGTTATCTTCCAATTTAAAAATATTTGCTTTAGATTTGAAACTTGACCAGTATGAGGAATTAGTTCAATTTACATCATTTTTAAAAAATTTTTTCAATGCTTAATACATTACCGGTAGTAGCAAACTAAAGATGTAGCTACATTAAGAGTTTATTTTACTGGCTTAAGTTATCGGCTGACTTCTCGTAAACTAACAAAGGAGCGTTGGATGATCAAGTATAAATTAGGGGCCGAAATTAAACAAAGTCAAGCTTTAAATTCTTTGTTCTTTTACGAAGAAGACACTCGATGACTTAAGCTAATAAAAAATACTTCTTTATGAAGCTGTATCTTAACGTTTATTATAAATTTCCGACCGATTTCAGGTAATCTGTTTTCTATACTTTTAACCTATTCATGATACCCAATTTTTCCAATAGATCTGCCAATAATACACGACGTAACCATTTTCCATTTCCATTTTATAAACTTGATTTTCTTTCTTAATTTTCTATTTCAAAATAGTAATTCAATGACCTCTCAAGTACGATTATTATAAGTAAATGAAAAAAATCAAGGTTTTTGATGTTCCACACTTATATCTTTTCCGTATATCTATACATAAAAATGTTCTAGTCTTTCAAATACCTATGTTACTGTGTGAAAGATTGGTTATTTTCTGTTGCTTTGGCTTCATCGTCGATGAACTATTAAAAAAATGCCATGCATTGTTGTTGTAGTTTTTTGTATTTGAGCACGTGATCTTTTTTGTTTTGATTTTTAATTTGAAGGTTTTTTTTTTTTGGCTAAAAGCATATAAAACACACGATAGAGAGTACATAGAGACAATGTGGCTTTGCAGAGCTATTATGCGTGAATCATTCCAAATATTTTTGTTTTTTTTTTTTTTTTTGGATAATATGTATGTAGCCCTACTTTTTTGCGGAAGTAAAAACAAAGGCATGAGGAAGTTATGTCTTTTTTTTGTAATCCAAAGCTTTTTTTCGAAAGGAAAAACTCATTTTAAATTCTAAATACGCCTCTGAGAAGTATTTTAAAAATAAAAAAATAGACCTACTATAGCATACAACTTAATATGTTGTATTCTGGAACAGCTTTGTCATTATTAAGAAATGTTTAAAATTAAGAATAATTTAAACACCGCTGTTTAGTTCACAATTTTGATGAGATATTTTTTGACTAGAATCAACATCATTTCAAAGGCTTTTTTTTGAATTCAGACGATGTAGGGTTTTACAACGTTTTTCATACCCTCCACCTTTGTAAAATCCCTAAATATCCCATGTAACGACGGTACCTCCTGATACTCGGTATTTTGGTGATTTTTTCACATTTTCCACGGATTTGTCAAGAAATTGGTATTTGGATATCATAATGGATTCTAGCTCCGGTGGCTGAATATTCTATATTTAAGTCAACGTTTTCCCTCATGTAACGGTACCTCCCAATATTCGGTATTTTGTTGATTTTTCCACATTTTTCTACGAATGGGTACTAGCTCCAGTGGCAGAACATTGAATATTTAGGTCCATGTTTTCCTATAGCGCACATATAACGATACCCATCGATATTCGTTATTTTGATCATTTTCGACACATTTACCCATGAAATTGTTTCACATTTGGCATTTAAAAAGATTTGGTAGATGACATTCCTTGAAGTATAAATTTGACTATATATGTTCCCGTTTTGGTATGGCCCCAATGTAATGGTCTGACCCACTTTATGGTTTTTTTAAAAGTTACAGCATTATCCAATCTGTCTTACTGATATTTGTGGTTTAAAGTGGAATGCTTTAGAATTTAAATAATTTTATATAAAAAATTTTTCTTTATCCAATGGTGAATGATTTTAAAAGTTCGTCCGGCAAAACTTAATGTTATTTTACTTGTTTTTTTTTTTTTTTTGCAATTTGTTCTCCATTATAATACACACTGTAATATGATTTTAATATGTCTTCACAAATCAATATTTCAGATTCTTCAACATTCAGCGAAAATGGTATCTGGTCGCCCACTTTTATATTTGTCACTGCCTGGTGTAGCATTTATACTTGGCGTATTTTGGTTTCGGCGTCGGAATAAAAATCGCGGAGAAAATGATACGAAAAAACTAGGCAATGGCACGATAACGGCCGACAAGGATTTACCATCACAGACCGAAGTCACTGAGGATCTAATCACAAAAACAAATACCACATGTAATAATAACAGTAGTAAACCCACATCCACACCCACAAAATCAATGAACATAAACGGAACTATACCATCGGATGAAGAGAATCCCGCAAATCGAATGTTTGGCAAATCGGCACCCATTAAAATTGTACAAAACGGTCGTGGCCCCTCACCGGTAAAACAAACGGCACAACAGCAACTGGATTCGGAGGTTTTAAAAACCAAAATTCAAGATGCCGAACACAAGTTGTTGCGTTCCATAGAAGAAGATTTTGAAAATCTTTCCTCTCCCGTCGATCTACCCGATTCCATAAATAATCGTACATCATTCTATTCGCGTAACGTTGATATCAAAAAAGACAAACCGGTTGTTATAATGGCCACGACAACACCCAAAATTTCGCCAGAGAATTCATTTTTGGAAAGTAAATATACCAAAGACTGTGAAGAGGATAGTAATAAATTAGACAAGAAAGAAAACCACAATGAAAAGGACAACAACGCATCGTCATCGTCTGTAGGTGGCATTAATGGTAATGGCGAGAAAAGCATATCCCCCTCGGAGAAAGTTGTTGCACAAACCAATATTGACGCTAAAAATGCCACTGACGACTGCACAGACAATTGCGGCACAACAAATGTGTCAGATAAACGTAATGTTGATGCCGCCAGCCCTTCCTTAAGCCTATGTAGTGTGCAATCCGGTGATTCGGGTAAAGGTTCCAGTTTACCCCGATCAGAGGCCACACGTGCTAAAACTACATATGAATTCTTTTTGCCAGACAGCCTAGTTGGATATTTGTACGGTCGCCGACGTTCGTTTATCAATCAAATCAAGTCCAAAACAAATGCCACAGTAGTTTTACGCAAGAAGATGTACCCCGGTAAATTGCGTGTGTGTGCCGTTGAGGGTACCGATAGTGAAATACAAGCTGCTCTGGCATTAATCCGTCAACGTTTGCCGGCCAAGCGTTATCCCAAATTAACAATGCAAAGAATACATTTTGCACTTCCACAATCTGTAGTTCCTTTATCAAACGAAAGTCTGCTTAATCTTCAGGTAAATATACTTTTGAATTGAAATATACAATTGAACTTGAAATTCTGTTTTTACATCCTACACCACACCACCCTCCTACACAGGGAGAAGGAATTGAGATAGACCCACAGTTTCTGTTGAGGATATTCATAGAATCACTTTCTGAGTTGATTTATGCATGTTAGTCAGTCAGTCCATCTGTCCGTCCGTGAGTCTGTCCATGTATTCTAGTGAACAAAATGCAGGTCACATTTATTATCCGATTGAAATTAAATTTTCCAAACAATATTTGTTTGACCCAAGGAGGAACCCTATTGAAGTTGGTGATAATCGGATCAGATTCGTATTCATAAACAAGGTATCAGATATCAAATACATGCTCAGAAATACGTCTGCCAAATTTTATCAAGATCGGTTCAGATTTGGATATAGTTCCCCTATATATCTTCAACCGATTTCGTATCAAATTACCTGGATTTTGGCACACCCAACCGAATTCAGTCTAGAAGCAAGTACATCAAATTTTGAGAAAATCGGTTCAGATATAGCTATAGCTCCCATATATATGTTTCATCCGATTTGGTGTTTAAGCCCCTCACATTCGTAATGTGCATTCGTCAACAATGATATTTGCTACCAGATATCTTGTAGAGCTCGGAAATACCTTTGCCAAATTTTATCGAGATCCGCTCAGATTTGGATATAGCTCCCATATATATTTCCCTTATCCGATTTCAGGTTTATTTTGCAAATAATAGCTAATATCAGCCAAAATGGAGTGAAATTCGGGACGTACGTTTCCATTTTGTGAAACTCGGTTCCGATATATATTTTTTTAATTTTCTTTTTTCTAATTTTCTTCTCGAAGTGGTATCATGCTTTCTTTAGCAATGTTATTAGTTATAAAATATTAAAATTTCTTCGTCAAATTTAGTGAAAATCGATTCAGAATTGGATATGCTTCGCATATATTAGTACCCTCTGAAGCCAAACTATAACTGCTCTAAATTCAAATGTTGATAGGTGGTATGATCTAATTCCAAATAATTGTTTTGTTGCGGGAGCTCTACTAAATATGCATAATGGTGTAGGGTATCATATAGGTCGGCCCTGCAAGACTCATTGTTTTTTTTTTTTTTTTTTTTAATTTTTGTATCTTTTTTAATTTTAAAGTTTTCATTTTTACTAATTATTTCGCTTTGTTTTCTCTTCCCTACAGCTTAACCTAATCGAAGGTATCAACAATGATGTAGTTGTTAGTGCTATTATCTCGGGTACCCATATATTTGTACAACAACCCCTACATCCCACACATCCTTCGTTAGCTGTTTTACAAAAATGTCTATATGAAAGCTATACAACAACAGATGCACCTCTATTGCCTGGCGTTGAGTTGAATGCTGTGTGTGTTATGCCAGTAAATGCTATTTGGTATCGGGTACAAATTGTCGATGGTGACGTTGAAGATCCAGAGCGATGTGTTGTTAAGTTTTTGGATTTCGGTGGCTATATGAATGTACACTTGAGTGAACTGAGACAAATACGTTCAGATTTCATGACAGTACCATTCCAAGCCACCGAATGTATACTCTCAAATATAGAGCCAATAGGTAAGTCCATGCAATGTGTTTGCCATGTTATTACAGTTTACTAACATTTATATATTTTTTTCTTACTTTAGACTCCTGCTGGACACCAGAATTTGCTGATATTCTATGTAGACTAACCAAAGGCATTGTTCTGCAAGCACAAATTGCCGGTTACAATTCACATAATATACCAGAAATATTTTTGTTCGCTTGCTTAGGCCCCAATGTGAGTATTCTGCTCTTTTATCTGAAAAAGAGTTGATAAATGAAATACTGAAATGCAAAATTTGTTGAAAAGAAAATCCCCAGTTTGAAATGGGGATTTAAATTTTGCATAGTGATGTATTGATAATGAATATCCAAAAACGGATATGTATTTTCTCCATTCGGGAAAATACGAAATTGACAGAAGAGAGACAAGGGGTTTCTTTCGAGCCTCACAAGAAGTTGACAGAAGATGTGAAGTGTGAGGCAAAAAGCGACTTGGTTGGTCCATCATACCTTAGTTTGTGCTAGCTTGCATGCTGGTAATGTATTACATGTGAAATTTCTGTTTTAAACAAATTGAAAATATGAGCTTCTTCACGGTTGAAAATATATGTGATGGAGGAGGGTAGTTTTGCATTTTAAAGATTCGATGTAAAACGCTCCCTCGCACACGCACACATTAATTGAAGTTTTTGCTGTCCCTAGGACCTGCATTTAAAAGGTTTTGTTGCATAAAGTTGACGTTATGAGTTTAATAATAAAAAATCATTGCCCTGCCACATTTACAAAAGTATTTGAAAACATTTCTTAACCATAAGTTTTTGTCTTCCTTTTACAGAATGTTATATTTATCAATAAGGAGCTTGTTGCCAGAAATCTTGCAAAATGGGTGGACATAAGAGACTGATTATATCCCGCTAAGGAAATGCATACAGAAACAGAGGCTGCCGATAGCAACAATAATAACATTGAATTGGACGTTGTTGTCGCTTACAACAGCAAAATTAGCAGACCAGAAACAAATCACAACAACAACAACAACATTAACTAAGTTCTCAAAACGTTTTTACCAACAGAATTTTAACACAAAAACAACACATAATACACTCACATACACACACCCACACACACGCTCTAATGGTAACTATTAAAGCCACAAAACAAATGCACTTAAGAATTGTAAAAGCCATATAATACCTTCAAAAGGTCTCTTATCTTGCTCTCACTCCGCAAAATATTTGAAACTATTTTAGAGTAGAACTCGATGAGAAAGCCGCCAACCACCATTACAGATATTTAAGAAAGGTTGTTGCTGCAACCATTATTTATAATAATTAATTCAAGGCTTTAGTCAAGAATAACTCAAACAAACAAACAAACCATTCACAAACATTAAGAACAAGAAAGTAAAATATGCTAATATTTCAGCACTTTTATTCAAATACAAAAAGTGAATGATGTCAAAAAAGAAGAAAAAAAAAAGCCAAGAGTAGTTGTAGGAACATCTGGAAGAGAACCACACATGTTATATAAAATGCAGTCAGTCAGTGCTCTTTTAACTTAAACATAAATTAACATCAACAAGAACAACAAAAAGCTTTTATGTAGGCATCTTTTGTAAATATATACTATATAGGATTTAGTAATTAAATATAGTACATACACACAGAAACTGCAGCAGCAGAGGAAGAAGTAACAGAAGAAGTTTAAAAAAAAAAACAACAAGAACAGAAAAAACAAACTATTTTAAAATTCTCTTCTTCTGTGCTTATATTTTCATATTCCTCATGCTCCTTTTATTTATTATATTTTTGTTTTTTTTTTTTAATTTTGTTCAGCAGTCCTTTCTTAAGTTTTAAGTGACAAAAAACACACAGAAGTTAGTCATTGTTATTTTTCTACTTTCTATGGCAATTTCTTCCGCCATACCCAACTTTACACCATCATAATAAGACAAAATCAGTCAAATATTATCCTCTTAGTATGCAAAAAACAAAGCCCACAAGTTTTCATTGTGGTCGGTCTTTTCAAATTCACTTAAATCATGGAACTTACCATACTATTACATACATGTGTACATAACATTTATATCCTTTTTTTAGTTTTGTTTTCTTTTTTATACAAACATACAAAAAATATATATTGTAATTTCAAAACAAGAATAATTACTGTTATGCGAAACGAGGAGGAGAAGAAGAAGACCAAGGCAGACAAACAAACAACTGGGTCATGAGAAAAAGCTTAAATTTGAAAATTAGGTTTCTGACCATTTTCATAGCACATCAAAAATGTGGGTGTCTTTGGGATTAGGTTTTCAGAGGAGTATAGAGCAGTTTTTCCATAGGATTTTGTCCACTGCGAAAATGTTCAATATACAGAAAGAGAGCTAGCTACATAAATTCATTATGTAACTTATAAATAAAAATACACCTGACGTGCATTTTAGAGATGCGACTGTTTTCAATTGAATTTCTTTTTTAACACAATTTTTTTAATCTCCCTATCACAAGTGTGAAATTTAGTACCAAGCAAGAATTCGGAACAAGAATTCACTAGTTAATTAGAATTAAACAAGTGCTTATGGTTCGGAAAAGAGATGCGACTTTTTTCAATTGAATTTCTTTTTAACACAATTTTTTAATCTCCCTCAACACAAGTGGTGAAGTTTAGTACCAAACAAGAATTCAGAAGAAGAATTCATTTTCTTAGAAACATTATATCCAACATAAAGCTACAATCACGATTGAAATTCGTACTGTCGGTTTGTGGCTTGATTGTATGACCTCAGGAGGATATTGCATATCAATTAATACCGGGGATAAATTGATTTTTGGCGTTAGGATATTTATTTAACATCGAGAAGACCATTTGTATTTTACACCACAAGTTGGTCAGCGTCCGTTTGTCCATGTATTTTTGTAAACAAAGTACAGGTCGCATTTTTTGCCCGATCTAGATGAAATGAAATATATATAAAATATAGCTCAAAAATACCTTTGCCAAACTTTATCGAGATCGTTTCAGATTTGGATATAGCTTCCATATATATCTTTATCCAATTTCAAGTTACTTGTGCACAGAATTTAAAAGGCACAAATGCCTCTGCAAATTTGGTAGAAATCGATTCAGAGCAGGATATTCCTTTCATATATTATTTCCCTTGAACTTTAAATTATAATTTTAATCATAGTTGGAATGATTAAATTATCACAAATTCCCCATAAAAAGTTTTATTTTTTATGGGAAGCTCTGCTAAATAAAGTGATGTAGGGTATCCCAAAGTCGGCCCGACCGACTTTAAGACTTTCTTTACTGTTTTTTTTTTTTTTTTTGATTGTTTTTCATGGTGTCAAAACCTGAATTCTCTTTTCGGTGTGCATCCCAAGCAATTGATCTATAATTTTAGCAATTTGACAAGGAACGAGGAGAAACGTTTCAAAATTCAAAGTAACTACCCATGATTTTATAGCTTGATTCGCCGGTTGGAAATTCAAAGTAACTTCCTATGATTGTATTGCTTGATGTGTATCATTCGGACCAGAAAAACGTTTAAAAATTCAAAGTAACCCCCTATGTTTTTATGGCTTATCATTCGGACCATCTTCTTATTTGTACGCCTAAAGACAGCCTTCGATTAATTATTAAAATCATTATCTGTTGCCTTGTTTGCCTTTTCCTCCTCCACAGTGACATGTTTCTTCCTTGATACGTTCTTGAAATATCAAGTATTTTTTTCCTTCTTAATTATTTTTGTTTTTAAATTAACATTTCTTCACAGATCTTCAATTTTAAAAATTTACTTTTTTTGCTAGTAATTTAAGCCGACATTGCAAAAGAGGAGGAGTAACAGAATATATAGATACACATAACAATAATATTTATTTTGAAATTACAATGCCTTTTTTAAAATGATGATAAAAATGGCTTTGTTATATTATTAAAAAAAATATCTAATGCTATTATTATTTAGTTTCCTTTATTTTTTTTTTTAAATAGAATGATGAGAATATTTTGTAGGCTTAGTGTTAATCTTTCTAAACGTAATATTAATTATTGTATTTTATTTTATTATAATTATCATTTTAGTTAAAAGAACAACAACAAAACAAGTTATTACATTAACCTGCCGCCGGAGAGTAAGGGGTTGTGCTATTTTATTTTTGTATACCTTGTCTCTAGCCCAGACCTTTTACCTATCTATTCTACAAATATCATTTCTCACTCACTATTATATTGTTACATTTGCTACATCTATCCACATTCATTCAAACCTATTTTCTTGTTTCAATCATCCATCACCCACCACAACATTGAATGCATCCCGTTGTAAAATGAAGTAATAAAATGAAAGAAAGAGTAAAGTTTTTGAAAACAAAAAATCCCAAATTATTATTTTTTTCTATTGACTTTTACATTGGTTTTTCGGTATTTTTTCTTTTTGTTACTATGGGCATTATTTTTCCTAGAAATATATAAATAAAAAACAACAACAACAGAATCCACAAACACACAAACAATTTGTAAAATATTTCTATCTATATACAGAGTAAACTCTTACCCACACACAAACACAACCATTATATACATACATAAATGCATATATTCTTCGTTTTTTTTTTATAAAAATAAATAAAAATCAACAAATACACCTAAACCAAGTAATGAAAGATTTAAAAACAAAATACAATGAAAGAAAGAAATATTAAAATACATTGCATATATTTTTTGCTATATAAGTTATTTAGAGTTTTACATGAACAAATTATATAATGATTATATATAATATACAAAAATATAAAAATAAATAAGAAATAATAAAACAAAAAACCAACAATAGGCAAACCAATCCCATTTTGAAAACAAAAATCTACCAAATTAAAAAGAAAAATAATTTAATGCAGGAATTTAATTGAAAAGATTGAATTGTTATATACTTAATATACAACATTTGCAAAAAGAAAAAAAAAACAAAAAGAAAACGCGATAATCTTTATAAGCATTACTGCGCAAACCAATGACAATTGCTTCAGTTGTCATTATTTTCTACACAATGATGCCGACGAAAAAAAAAAAGATCCCGGAAAACTTAAGCAATAGTTTGGAAATACATTTAAAAAAAAAAAATTAAATAAAAACTGATATGTGCTAATAACAACAATTTCAAATAAAAATAAAATAATAAAAAAATGATCCATAAAAATAAAATTCGTTAAAAAAAGTAAACAACATGTGTTTTTACTATTACTACCATAGAGGGTGAATTTTGAAGTTTCTTTTCAATTGTATGGAATATATTTTTTTTCAAAGGCTTTGGAGAATTCGGGCTGGGTTCCAGACCGGCCTAATGGGAGGGAGATAATCAAACAGAGATTTTAAGTTGCTAATTCTAGTGCTTTTGTTTTGTATAAAAATAAAGCGTCCTAAATTAATTATAGTCTATGTCTATTCAGAGATTAGAAGTTTGGAAACACAATTCGGAATTGTCAATTTCACCAATGTTTCTTGGCCGTTTTTTATTCAATATCTTCTATATCTATAAAAGAGGAAAATTAAATCAAAAGGGGTAGCGGAGATAGTTTTAAAAAGAAATACTAAAATAATTTAAAGAAAACGCTGTATATGTTAAAAAAGGCTTAACTCTAGTTAAGTAAAAACTTAATTTTTTTTGAAAGTTTTTTCTTGGGGGACGGACTGGGGACCTCAGATTTTTGACCGAAAATCCGTGTTTAAGATTCTTGGTTTTTTTTTAAATCCAAAAAAAAAAATCGATAGTCGATCGAGGTCGATCAGGGTTCAAGGTAAGAGATTTGGAGTTGCAACACAAAAGAGCCCAGCAACCTGTGTCGCCGATACGAAAGTTGTAGGCAATTGCAGAGAGTATTCTCAACTAGAAAGTGCCATATTCTTCGTCAGAGAAAAGACTAACTTAAAATTTTAGATTAAATCCAGAAATTCGTGTTGGGTTCTTTTAGTTCGCAAAATGCATAATTTGTGCAGTTTGACAAAATCTTTTAATTTTTTATATTTTTTTTGTCCAAAACTATTTCAATGTCTCCATATGTAAACCCTAGAAACAAACAGTAAACTCAATGTCAAATCGCAGAATTTTAGCTCTATCCTTTCATTATACCCTAAGCCATATGGCTAGAGAGGGTATATATCATTTGGTAGATCAAAACGTGCCTAGTCGAAATAACGGTTTTAGACCTAGACCCTAGTCGATCTAGCGATGTCCCTCCGTCTGTGTATCTGTCTGGCATCTGATTAGGTCCAAACATAGATCGAGTTCGGAGATGGGTAAAATCAGTCCACTCCTTCTGGTACCTCCCCCACAAAATTTCAACACAGAAAGCACAGAAAGAGAAAGGATAATCCGATTTTTCTCCAACTTTGCAAATCCTAATATTTGCGTCAGTTCTAGGTCAGGTGCGAAAATTGACAATATTAGTGATGTAAGAGTCTGATTGTCTTCACATTTCACACATCACAATAATTTTATTAACCCGAAGTCTGGTGTTAAGATGGGATACATCGGTCTACTCCTTCCGGTAAATCCCCCACAAAAGGTCGAAATTTTGAAAAAAATCTGCACAGAAATAGAAGCAATAATCCGATTTGGCTCGAACTTTGCAAATCATAATATTTGCCTCAGTTCTCGGCCAGTTGCGAAAATTGATAATATTGGTCCACTCCATCAAGTGCTTCCCCCACAAAGAATCCAAGTTTTAAATAGTTATAACTCTTATAAAATGTGATGTAAGAATCCGATTGTCTTAAAATTTCACACATCCCAATATTTTTAAAAACTCAAGATCTGGTGTTAAGATGGAATATATCGGTCAACTCCTTCCCCCACAAAAGGTAGAAATTTTGAATATCCATTAAGCTCATAATACGCGAAATTAATATCCGCTTCCATTTAAACTTGGCACATCTGAATGTTTCCATCAACACAAGATCTGTTATAAAGATGGTAGAGATCGGACCATTTCTTTTGCTACCTGCCCCACATAGGGTTCAAAATTTTGAAAAACAAAATGATCAAGATCTGTGGTGAGAGTGAGATATATCTGCACACCCTTTCTGGTACCTCACCCACAATTTTATCTGTCATAACTTGCGAAATAAGTCAGCGATTCTTTGCAACTAAATATTTCTCAGCCAGAAACATGGGATGAATATGGAATTTATGATTTCCAATAATTTGAATATAAATGTTCGATTTTCTGTAACTTTGCCCATACCAAAATATTTATATGTATTAGATTAAGCATGAAAATGGAATACTGCTCTATACAGGTACATCATGCACATTTTTATCTATATAGGTCCACAATATCGTACAGCCCCCATATAACGGTACGCCCACGGTATTCGGTATTTTGATGATTTTAGCCACATTTTTCAATGGAATTGTCTTAAAATCCACACAAGTAGTTCCTTGTGAGTACTTTACCCCCTGATAGAGAATTGTCTACACAGGTCCACGATATCGTATATCCCCCATATAACAGTACCCCCGATATTCGGTATTTTGATGATTTTACCCACATTTTTCATCGGAATTGGCTGAAAATCCACACAAGGAGTACCTTGTGGGTACTTTATACCTCGGCAGAGAATTATCTATATAGGTCCACCATATCGTATAGCGCCCATATAACGGTAACCCCGATATTTGGTATTTTGATGATTTTATCCACATTTTTCAATGGAATTGTCTGAAATTCCACAAAAGGAGTCCCTTGTGGGAATTTTACCCCCTCAAAAAGAATTGTCTATATATGTCCACGATATCGTATATCCCCCATATAACTGTACCCCCCGATATTCGGTAATTTGATGATGTTAGCCACACTTTTCAATGGAATTGTCTAAAATCCCCACAAGTAGTTCCTTGTGAGTACTTCACCCCCTGAGAGAGAATTGTCTATACAGGTCCACGATATCGTATATCCCCCATATAACGGTACCCCCCGATATTCGGTATTTTTATGATTTTACCCACATTTTTCATCGGAATTGTCTGAAAATCCACACAAGGAGTTCCTTGTGGGTACTTTATACCTCGGCAGAGAATTATCTATATAAGTCCACGATATCGTATAGCCCTCATATAACGGTACCCCCGATATTCGGTATTTTGATGTTTTTAGCCATATTTTTCAACGGAATGGCCACAAGGGGTTCTTTGTGAGCACTTTACCCCCCGACAGAGAATTCTCTATATAGGTTAACGATAACGTATATCGTTAACCTATATAGAGATATTCGGTATTTTGAAAATCCACACAAGGAGTTCCTTGTGAATACTTTACATGCAGACATAGATTTGTCTTTATAGGTCCACAATATCGTATATCCCCACATATCGGCACCTTATATTAGATATTTTGAAGATTTTAAAAGAGTTTTTAATGGATTTTATTTTTTTTTTTGGTATTCAAAGTTCGGCCCGGCCGAACTTACTGCTTTTTTACTTCTTCTTACCCTCTTAGTACGAATTTCCGAAATCCCGGTCTTATCACACGTCTATGCCCCAAGACCAACCCTCGTGCTAAATTTCAAGATTTTAGCTTCAGCGATTTCGTCTAGACGTTTTTTCTCGGTCTTCACTACTCTTTTATAAATTTAGATTGATTACGCCTCATCCTCGCACAGTCTGCAAAATTCGATATTCGAATTCGTGATGACCCCTTTGACAATTTATATCTTGGATTTGCTGAGAGAGTAATGATAGATTTCTTCGAGCTAAAGATACCGGCCAGTCGACCGCGACATCTAATAAGTAGATTTGTCATGCGTCATCTTCATTTCCATAGAACTGTTTGAGCGTTTTATATATTCTCGCCCTAAGCCATCCGTTGATTGATGTCATCAGGCCCCGGCCTCCCAAATTTATATGGTTGGTGTTGATTACCCACAAAATTCTGGCCAATTTGAAATTTGCTAGCTCCAATCTCGAAAAATTAGATACAGAGTTGGTGTCGAAATGATTCTGAACAACCCCAATAGAATTTTCAGCGGATTTTTCTGCAAAATAGTTCGGTAAAAAAACATTATGAATCATTTATATTCTTGTCATAAAATTTAAGATATTTCTAGTCGATAAAAAGTTATAAAGTACGATGTATATTGGGCGTACTAAATATGTTTCTTTTATTGTTTAATTTGTTTTTACAGATCAACGTTGTTTTGATTTGTTAAAATTATTGAATGTTTCCTGGAATTTATGAATGGCCAAATTGAGATAACTGAGGTTGTTCTCTATGTGAAGTACAAATTTTCGAGATAATGGTAACGACAGAAACATTTTGAAAATTTTATGGATAATTATCAATGATTATTTTCTCATAAAAATCTGTGAAGAACAATGGGAAACAGCATAAATGCCATACCAATAAGTCACAAGCTTAATTATGACCCCAATTTAACCTGGGACTTTAATTGGCATATTTGCTCTGGTCCAGTACCTTTGAGAATGTAAGCGATATTTATACCCTCAGCCATATGGCTAGAGAGGGTATATATCATTTGATACGGCCAAAACGAGCCGAATTGAAATAACGGGTTTATACCCTAGGTCTCTTTGGAATAAATTTGATTGAGGATATTAGGAGTCGATTTATCGCACGATAACACTCGAAGGGAGTATCTGATTTGGTACAAACTTGGTACAACGTAATATTATTGCCAGACTTAGATCAAGTTCGGAGATTGGCAATATCGGTCCACTCCTTCTGTTAACTCCCCCACAAAAGGTCGAAATTTTCCAACAAATATTTTACTGCACAGGAAGATAAAGGATAATCCGATTTTGTTCTAACTTTGCAAATCCAAATCCTAATATTTGCATCAGTGCCCAGGCCAGGTGTGAAAATGGACAATATTGGTCCACTCTATTAAGTACCTCCCCACATTTTTCATATTTCACACATCCCATTATTTCTATTAATCCAAGGTTTGGTGTAAAGATGGG